ATCGGCCACCTCAAGAACCCTACCGTTGCCGTGGTTGGTATTGGTGGTTTGGGTCACTTGGCCCTTCAATTCGCCAAGGCTTTGGGCGCAGAGGTGTACGCCTTCTCCCGTTCCTCTTCTAAGAAGAAGGAGGCTGGCACTTTCGGTGTCGATGGTTTCGTTGCAACCGCCGAGGAGTCTGACTGGTCAGACAAGTACCACGACAAATTCGACTTGATCTTGAACTGTGCCTCCCGTGTGGATGGCTTCGTCTTGGATCAGTACCTTAACACCTTGAAGGTTGACGGTCGTTTCGTCTCTGTCGGCTTGCCTCCCGCTAAGGACAAGTTTGAAGTCACTCCATTCTCCTTCTTGTCCAATGGTGGTTCTTTCGGTTCCTCCCTTTTGGGTTCCAAGACTGAGGCTCTCGATATGTTGAAGTTGGCAGCCGAGAAGGGTGTCAAGCCAATGATCGAGAAGATTCCTATTTCTGAGGAAGGCTGCAACACTGCCTTGAGCAGATGTGACAACGGTGATGTCAGATACAGATTTGTTTTCACCGATTACGACAAGGCCTTCGCCTGAGGAGCGTGCATAGGCATAGATAGATAAGTATAGAGGGCAACCCGGAAATGCCTGGCAATATATATATGAGCCCAGTAACCACAATGGTAGCGCGGAATACCCGTAATGCATGCCCCGCAACCACAACAGTGCTGATTAAGCTAGGAGGTACCATTAAGGTTTGAGATGGATGAAGTTTGATTGATTACCATTGCTTTGAAAGTGGTCATGAAGTTGAAAATTGTTTTTGTTCAATAATGTTTCAAGTGGACCACAGTGATTACTTTCAGCATAACACATAGAGTGTTGTGGTAACAAATTTTTACCACCAAGACTTACTATGATATCGACGACGTATTTCTGTAGCCTTCATTTGACTTGAACTGTCACAACGGTGTTGCATTTTCGCTCTCGGTCCAAGAAATTAGTCAATGTGGTCACCTTCTTTATGTAGTAAGTGTATGCGACACTCTCACCGAGGAAGTAGAAGTATGAAAATGGCTAGTAACAAGAACAGACTCATCTGTGGAATTCACCGTTATTTACCGTTAACACAAAATGCCGTAATGTTGGGTGTTCCGTCTTACTTGCGAGTAAAAAGGTTCTCCTACAAATGGTTGCAAATTGCGCAAGGTGAGACCTGCCATTACACCCCCAATAAGGCCACTGAGGCCGAAAACGTGTTTTTGATGATCTTCAATAAAAGATAATCCAGTAAAATTTACAAGATTAATTTGAGTAAACCTCGTAGGTTAGTGAACTTATACCTGTGAACAGCCTTAACATGCAAACACGCTGCAACGAGTACATGGGATCGTAAAAAGAGGCCCCAATATCAAAACTATTTCAAACATTCAAAGCTATTTGAGGCTTAACACGACTTCCATCATTTTTCAAGAGAACCATCCGGCTGAATTCGAAGAAGGCTATATGACGATGGTTGATGTGATGTCACTCGCATCCATAGGAAGCCCAAGCAACCTGGCCACAAGATTCGACATTCAAAGTCCCCCTACAAGCAAAACAAAATCGTAGAATCCGAATATTATACCTATTTTTTCAAAATCACCATTCCTACCACCCACAACACCATCACTTACTCCTCTCATCGTAGCATGTCCCTGCAGTCCTGAGGAAAATCAGAGCTCCACTTTTTCAACTACAACATGCTTCAGTCGACCCATGCTGCCAAGGCTCTTCAAGCCAAATTTGGTCTCAGGGCGTTGGCCACCTCCTCCCCAGCCCGCCTTCAGCAGGCTTCGCCACTTGCAAACAAGGAGAACATAGAGTCACCTTCCAAGTTGGCTCAAGACTCTCATTTACCAAAAGTACTCCCGGAAGTCAAGGGCAAGATCCGTCAGCCAACCAGCAAGCAGCCATTTTTGTCTGACAACAAGATCGAAAGTGATCCCCACTACAAGATGTCCGGCTGGTCAGAGAGCATCGGCCAGTGGGTTGTGAAAACGTTTAACATCGACATGGACAAGTCCAGAGCTGGTCCCGTGGCTGGTTCCTTCTACTTCGGTGAATGTAAACGTCAAGGTATGTACTACCCCAACGAGCCACTCTCTGACACAGCGAGGTTCTTCTACGAGACTTTGGGCCTACCTAAAAGTTTTGCTCAGCATTTCCAGATCACAGCCTTGCACTACTGGATGCTCTCCGTCAGAATGAGAGCTTTGCCATTCAAGTATGGTAGAAACTACCAGCAAAAGTTGGTGGACAGAATTTTCAGAGACATGGAGTTGAGAATGTCTGGTGAGTTGAATATTGCATCGAACAAGATTATCGAGAAGTACCTCAAAGATTTCCACAAGCAGCTCTTGGGTGCCACCGTTTCCTACGATGAGGGACTCATGACAGATGATATTACCTTGGCTGCTGCTTTGTGGAGAAACATCTTCAGTGGTAACGCAGACGCTGACATGAGACACATTGAAGCCTTGGTGGGCTACGTGAGATCCCAGCTCTATGTGCTCAATCAGATGAGCGATCGTGAGTTCGGTTTTGGAAAATTCACTTTCGTTCCCCCAGACCAGGTCGTCAAGCCCTTGACGCTGTACCAATTGGCCCGCTTGAGAGAGGCTGCTAAGGCTGAATTTGCAAAGAACACTCTCCCATCGCAGAAGAGTGTGCTCTCGTTGGACGAATAACTTGTATATAGAAACTAGATACCTATAATTTGTGCAAAGAATCCGGGGTGGCAGAGCCCGTCCAGTCCTTGCCGAAAGAGCCTCTGACCATGACGTTCATGACAGCGTAATCATCGCCTTCCTTGGCGTTTGGCTTATCCTTGTCTCCCAAGGTGATATCCTTGTAGAAATGGAAGCCGAAGCGGTTGTAGATTGGAATGTTGTCAGGAGACGAGCTTTCCAAGTATGCAATGTTGTTCGAGTTGGGCACATCGATGTATTTCTGGAACATGTAGTCAAACATCGTTCTCACGTTACCCTTTCCTCTGGCAGAGGCCACGGAGCCCAAGTATACCAATGTGTAGACGCCCTTGCCTCTGAATCTCTTATCAGTAGCAAATATCCTGGCGCTTGTGTCGTGCAAAAGGGGCAACATGCCCTCAAAAATCTTCTCCTGACCCTCTGGTTCAGCGTATTCCCATAGTTTGCCGTAACCAGACGCCATCAAGGTATGGAAGCTCTCTAAGCCATCAGCCACCGAAGAAGGTGTAGACCAGATGGCCACGGTCTCGAAGCCATCGGAGGTCTCTCCGATACCAAGGCAAACGCCTTTGGCTATGTGTTGTCTGAGGTAGGCCTCATAGAGCAAGATGTCGATCTTGTACTTCTTCTCCGGGTCTTTGATGTGGTTGGTGAGAAGCCTGGCCAAGGCGTCTTCGGAGAAGGACTCCTGAAGGGTCTTAGCGGCCTTGGGCACGTCAGCGTAAGTCAATTTTCTAACTCTATCTAATTTGCTCATGGTTCAGAAATTATTATGATTGGCATACCGGGGAGCAGGATGCTCATACGCTTTTATAGATACCCCTAGGTTGGTTGATGCCTGCCAGGAATGGCAAGTGAATACGGCCGGTAGCGCACCCCAGACTACACAGAGAAAGCCGCCAACAGTTCTAGACAGGGAGGTGCGAGCGAGCCGTCAGTCGATAAGAAAAAAAAGGGCTATAATGGAATGACCGAGCATTCAGCGAGGTTCGGGGTAACGTCTTTGTTCGGAAGTAGGTCAAGCAGCTTCACAATGAGAAAAATGGCTAAGTTTTTGGTCCTGCTCGTCTAGCGGCCTTCGGTGACAGATACCGGATCTGTCAGATCGTCAAAGAATAGCTGCGAAATGCCAGGGTCCGCTTCTGGAAGTGAAATGGGTATTTGGTTGTAAAAGGCTTGTTTCATGATTTCCAAGCTTTGATGCGCTGGTTCATAATTTGATGAATTTTCTTGTAAGAGTCTTGATTGCTGGGGTGTTGCTCATTGTCGTAGCATCAGATGACGGGAGCAACCTGAAAGTCTCGGCGTTGAGCGAGGGTCGCTAAGTACTTAACCGAGAAGATGTGTCAAAGTAGTGAATGGTGAGAATTTGCTGGGGTGGTAAGAAATGTAGGCGACAGGGCTCGTAGTCGTTGCTCTCAGAGCCGCCAAGGTGTCTGACTATGGGACGAGCACATAAGCGGTGGATCTGCCATTAATGGATCTGTTCTGTTTTCTAAGACCTCCAATGAATTTGCTATTAGAACCAGGAATTTTGGATCATTGGGGCGAAGCACTTGGGCCTCTTGGAAGTTGACTCGGTAGCGGGATGTCATAGGCAGTTCTAGAAAAAGAAGCAGAAACGATGCAAAAACGATCCAAAAACTGCCCAACCTCGCAAAAGTGGAGTTTTTCAGTTTCCACATTCTCCATCCCCATACCCCCAAGCTGTGGTCTACAGGGGACCGTGGCGTGCCAAGAGAATGTCAAATTGGTGAAACCCAGTCCACTTTCGGAACGGGCGGGACGAATCCTTGCAATAGGTCTTAAAAAAGAGCCACATCTTATTCAAGCCCATTTGCAGACTCACTCCCTATGTTACAATCTACTTTACGAAAATAAAAAATATTCTCAACGCCCTGGCTTAGATCTGTTCTTCAAAGCCGGACTTCGCGTCAAATCGCCGTGAGATACTCGCTAGCCAGCCTCGCGAAATAGACTGCGAATAGCCTTACGGACTGCTGCACGGGCTTATCCTGATAAGGATATCAAGGTGAGCCACAGTTTAGCAAAGTGAAGCCGATTTTGTCCCTCAAACATCAATTTGTGTAATTTGTACTATTTCAAGGAAGAATTGATGTTCGTCGCAAGTAGAACCCCCAATGCACGGCTCAAATGTGGGTATGAGATGACGTGCTAGCGATGAATTAATCATAACCGCCGTGCAGATATTATTGTGGCAGACCAGGATGAGATATAAGGCGCTGAATCTGCAAAATCTAAAAAATCAATACACAATTTGCAATGCTTGAGTGTCTCAAAGGGCCTGCCAGTCACTTGAAGTGGGGGTTTATTCCCACCAGAAGAATTGTGGATGAGGACCTTCCTGAAGAGGTTGCAGCCAAGGAACCCGATGTCGTGGGGCTCCAGGAGGACGATTACGAGAAAGAAGCGACTCTGGAGGACGAGGAGGACTTGGAGTATCGTGACGAAGCCAACAGACCCTGGTGGAAATTCTTCGATGAGTACGAGTACAGATTGAACAAGAAGGCTAGACTGCTGCACAAGTGGTACAAGTGGTTTGATGAGAACGACACTCCAGCTGAAAGAAAGCTCATGTGGAAAATCGACATTTTGTTGACATTCTACTCCATGCTTGCCTACTGGGTGAAGAACTTGGATCAGTCGAATATCAATAACGCCTATACTGCCGGTCTCAAGGAAGACATTGGCATGGAAGGAAATGACTTGGTGAACACGCAGGTGCTTTTCAACGTGGGAAACATCATTTTTCAGATTCCATTCATGTTCTGCTTAAACAGTCTTCCATTGAACTTTGTTCTTCCTGGACTCGAACTCCTTTGGTCTATTCTCACGGTGCTCACATACAAGGTCGAGAATGTTGCCCAGCTCAAGGCCATCAGATTCTTTGTGGGCTCCCTCGAGGCACCAGCATACCTCGCTTTTCAATACTTATTCGGAACTTTCATTTATAACCCTTCGATGATCGCCAGAAGATCCATGGTCTACTACTTTGGCCAGTACATTGGTATCATGACCTCTGGCTTGATCTCGGGTGGTATTGTGAACAATTTTGAAGGTGTTCATGGTCTTGCGGCTTGGAGATGGATCTTTATCATCGATGGTATCATTTCCATCGTGGTGGCTCTCCTTGGGTTCTATATGCTTCCTGGTACGCCCACTGACTGCTACTCTATCTTCTTAACAGACGACGAAATCCGCTTGCTTCGTCGTAATCTCAAGAAAAACCACACGGGAGGCAGACCTAAGGTCAATCTTTGGCAGTCCTTCTGCTCTAAAGATGTGTGGAAGAGAATTTTCTTCTCCTGGGAAATCTACGTTTTAACGATCTGGAACTTCCTTTGCTGGAACAACAACAACGGTTCATCTGGTGCTTACATTTTGTGGCTTAAGAGTCTTGGTATCTACACCCACGGAGAAGTTCAATTCAAGAGTGCCTTGACACCTGGTCTTGGTATAGTGTGGTTGTTCGTTGTTTGCATGTACGCCGATCTCTTCCAACTGAGGTGGCTGGCTATCGTTCTATCTCAAGTCTTCAATTTCCTAGGAAACGTTCTTCTTGCTGTATGGGACATTCCGAGAGGAGGCAAATGGTTTGCCTGGTGTCTCCAATACTTTGGTTGGGCCATGGCTCCCGTTCTATATTCTTGGATGAACGATATTTGCAGAAGAGACGCTCAAAGAAGAGCAGTCACCTTAGTGGTGATGAACATGTTTGCACAAGCATCTACTGCGTGGATGGCTGTGATTGTCTGGAAGACCGTGGAAGCACCTCGTTTCCTCAAGGGTTATTCATTTACAGCAGCTTGTGCCTTTGGCTTGAGCATATGGACATTTGTGGTTCTTTATTTCTACAAAAGGCAGGAGAAAGGTTTTGCCCGCCAGAACGGTATCGCTCTTTACAATTCAAAGACAGACCCTGACTCTGTTCCAGAAAGCGAGTCAGAGGCATCTGTTACAAAAGTCAGGGAACCAACCCTGCCTAAAGGTAAGGCTGAGGAGGCGTCGAACACCTAATCAGTGCTACATTTTATTCAATGGTCATGACAATTTATAGATACAATAGAGAAGTTGCTCCATTATTTCTTACCCTTCTTCTTTTTCTTCAGCTTCTTCAGTTCGTTCGTAGGAGCTGGTGATGATTCAAGAGCACCTTGGTGTCCACCAGCTTTCTTTTTATCTTTCTTAGAAGGCTTGTAATACGATCTGAGCTTTAAAGGAAGCCACCTTTCCTTGTCCAAATCCTTCTCTGGATCAAATTCACCCTCTGGTTTCACCGTTCTCAGTGTGGGGAGTCTTGGCTTCCTCGTCTTCTTTGTGACCTTGTCATCATGCTTCTTGAAGGCATTCGATTTTCTAGACCTGGATTCCTGTTTCACAATCAAGGTCTCAACGTTAAGTTCGAGGAGGTTGGATACTTCGATGCCGGACTCCAATTCCTCCACTGGCTTCAACTTGTCAGTAGATCCAGTAAGAATGCTGGAGACCACTGCATCGTTTGGCTTAACCTCACCGAGAAATTCGAAGACCTTCTGAGCTTGTTCCTTTTGGTTCACGTTCAAAAGCTTGAACGCAAAAGCTTTGAAGAAGTCATATAAAACATCGTTCTCCTTGACTTGGTTCTTGACACTCTCGAGCTTGTTGAGCAACTCAGAGTATAAAGCATCCAACTTATTAGGGTTACGGATCTCGTACAACGATATGAGAATACCGAAAACACCAGCATGTAGCTGGACATCCTGTGAAGAGGCGAGTTCTAATGCCACGATGCGTTCTAGAACGTTGATTGACTGATCGAAGTTGCCGAACTTGGAGTTCACGTATGCTAAGAGCAAGGCACCGGCAATGATGATGTCGGTAACTTGGTTCTTCTCGAGTTCGACAGCGAGGAATTTGCTCAACTTTCTGCCAACGGCTTTATTAGTCTCTTCACTGGTCAAGTCTTCCAAGGAGATGTGCAATCTTACAAGAACCTTGTAAGCCAACGGCGAGAAGTCGCCGCTAAACTCTTGGGCAAACTCTTTCGCAAAAGCGTTCTGGATATAGTTGGAGTTCTTAGAGAGTGTGTTCGTCTGGTATGACAAAAGTAAATGGTTCTTCAACAAGACCAGCCATTGAGAGCGGGTCAACTTGAGTCTCAAGTTATGCAATAAGTATTTGTAATTGAGGGACCTCTGGGTCAAGTTGAGGTTATCCTGAGCAGGCAAGGCCGAATAGTAGTTGGTCTTGAGAATGGCGTTCACCAACAAGTCAGACACTGCCACTGCATCGAATGTGTTCAACAACTCAAGCGCCTCCAAGGACTTGCCGGTGGTTTGGTAAATGTAGGCAATCGTCAACTTAATTGGAGCAGTCTCCAAAACCAAGTCCTCCTCTGGCCAGTCACTGTTCTGGTTGTTGCATGTCTCCAATGCCTGTTCCAACAATTCTAAACTTCTGGAAGTGTTACCGTTGGCCAATGCGATGAGGGCGTCATTAAAGTGGTAGTCATAGCTTTGCTTCGAAGCAGGGAGGTTGGAGTGAGGCTGTTCACTGATGTTATCCTGGAGGGCAAGCTGGAAGATAATGGCTCTCTCATTACATGCCAAGTCCAACTCACTGTCGAACTTGAGGGAAGCAATCAATTCATGATAGACTTTCAAAGCCTCGGCCACACGGCCTGTTTGATACAAAGTCTGAGCCAAGACATGCTTCAAGGCTCTGCTGAGTGTGTCATCTGAGTCGCCATTGCTGGAGGATTCGTAAACTGCTCTGACATTCTCTAAATCGCCAACCTTGTAGTAGACATATGCAACCTCCAAAGGAAACTGTTTAAGGACGTCTTCTTTCGTTTTCAGAATCAAGTCCAAAGCTTTGTAGTACTTGTCCATCTTGATCAAGGCAACCACACAGTTCTTGAATGAAACAGAATGGTTGAAATTAGCGGCAGTGCTGAGATATTGGTATGATATTTCATAGATAGCCTCGTGGTCCGAGACATCTCTGGCCGAGGCCACATCGAGATTGTTGAAGGCCTCAAGCACGGACATTATGTGTGGTTGATGATAGTGAGGATTCGTCCAACATGGTTTTTTTCATGCCCTCTGCAGTCCCAGATAAGGTGGGCACCACCCTCCATGAAACAAGGAGACTTACGGTGATTTATTTTTCCGGATAATTATCTTCTTTTATCTATATTATGATATAAAAATGCATGGGTGTGTTTGGGTATTATGTGTGGTTTGTGTGGGTATCATGTGAGGGGGTATCATGTTTTCATAGAACATATCACGTTGAAATCTTGAACAGATTTTTTGTGACAAGATGCTGTTTGCCCTTGTTGAATCCGACAGACAGCAGGCGTTTCCGACGAGCCAATTCTCTCAGTTTGAGCGTAAGTCTGCGCTCGATGTCATCTTCATCGGTGCCTCCGCAGTACAATATCTTCTGCAACGAGTTTCTGGGTGGCGTGATGTAGCTTGGCAAACGATTGTACTTATGCAAGCTCTTCGACTCGTTGTTGTATGTTTTCGAGTGGTACAACTCCCGGAGTCTCACAGGAGCTCTTCTGATGGAGCCCACGGCAGAGACATAGCCTGGGAAGTCGTCTACGTTCAAATTTCCCAATGGCTTCCTTGGGCGGAGCGCCTGTTTTGGTTCCATCTTCTTGGGTTGCAAGATGTTCTCCTTATCATCAGAGGCGTTTGCAAGCTCAGACGTTTGCACCTTATATCTCATGGCCTCCTCGGGCGAATCTTCGTATATGGTGAATCCCAAAGAAGAAGCTTTTCTGGGAGTCAAGTCAACACCAATCTTGGGCAACCTGACCAGCAGGGCCGTGAAAGGGTTGGTTTTAGTGGGGCTGTTCTTGCCAGAAGGAGAGTTAGACTTGGTTGGAGAAGGTGTTCTCGAGTTAAGAAGACTCTCCTTTCTGGGCGATAATGGAATTCTTGAAGACATGGTTTGGTGAATAGCAGAAAGTAGGAAATGATGCTATTTAATAGATGTTTTGGCGCCGTGTATCGGGGTGCCTATACGCCTAAACGTTTCGCGGTCAGCCACGGTCTGTAGGAATTCGCAGCCAAATACGTTTAATAGCGTGTAGAACAGCTCCAATTGGCTCCCCTCTATAAAACGCAACAAGAGTCAAGAGTGGAATTTACAAATAAACGAGGACGTTGGAAAGAATGCTTCTTTTGTATTTCGCGTTTACTTGGTGCCTGGTTGCAAATTGTGGATTATGTATTGGGAGCCTCGCGTCGCCTTGTGAGGCTACAGGTCTCTCCTGGCGTTTATTCCTACCCTGTAAAATCTAACCCTTGTAGAAGTTGTTGGGCACAAATGGGAGCTTGGTCACCACACCGTCTCTCTTTTTGCCACGAATGTCGAGTTGCACCGTGCTGCCGATCTTCACGGTCTTGTCGAGGTAACTCTGGGCAACGTTCAGGCCCAAAGTGGGCGACAATGAGCCCGAGCTAATGTACCCTACCTCGTTACCATCGTGGTAGATTTTCGCTCCTCCTCTGGGCGCCGGTCCCTTAGAGGTAACGCCGATTCTTCTTCTCGTCACCAAGCCCTTGTTGTTCAACTGCTCCAAGATCTTGCTGGCACCGTTAAACGTAGCCGTGGCAGGCTCTCTTCTGGACTTTGGAATCAACCAAGCAAGCGAGGCCTCGATTGGGGTGATGTCCTCGGTCAATTCATTGCCGTAGAGACACATACCAGCTTCCAATCTGAGGGAGTCTCTTGCAGCCAAGCCAATTGGCGCCACAACGTCAGGATGCTCCTCGATCAAGGATTCAAAGAATTGTCTGGACTGCTCGGCCTCGGCCTCGTTGCCAGCCTTGATGCTCATTTCGAAACCATCCTCACCTGTGTAACCGGTTCTGGCGAGGTGAACACTGTCATTGACAAAGCTGTTCAACTTGAGGTACTTGGAGTTTCCGAAGTAGAGGTCCTTCAAACTCTCAGAAGTGTACTTTTGCAAGATCTCCTGTGCCTTTGGACCCTGGATAGCCAAAAGGGTGCCCTCCCAGGTGGAGTGATCCACGTTGCCAAAGGCCTTGGCCTCCTCCTTAATGAAGGCAAGATCCTTGTCTCTGCAACCAGCGTTGGTGACAACGTAGTACTTCTCATCGTTGTGCTTGGTGACAATGGTGTCATCGATGATACCACCGTTTTCGTTAAGAAGCACAGTCAATGACGAGGTGTAAGGCTGAAGGCTGGCCAAGTCAATTGGGGTGATTTTCTGCAAAAGGGCAGCGGCATCAGGACCCTCGAAGTTGTGTTGCAACATGTGGCTGACATCAAACAATCCCACTTTGCTCCGGACCCAGTTGTGGGACTCGATGTGGGACTGGTTCTTGTATAAGATGGGCATCTCGAAGCCAGCGTAGGGCACGAATTTGGCATTGTACTTGACGTGGCTCTCGTACAAGGGGGTTCTTCTCAACCCGGTGGAGTAAAATCTACGCAACATGTTGTGGAGTCTAACTTCTGGAAAAATCTGGGGTTATATATATGCTCGGCTGACTCGTTATCTGACTCTGGCGCGGGAGTCGCCCTGTGGGGACGGATGTTTAGACTCGGATGTATCTCCAGAAAACCAACCCTGCGGCTGCGACTGTTAAATAAATGAGAAGCGCACTAAGCAGATGCCCCAAAATGGTGCAAAGAGAACCGTGATATGAACACTTTTTGGTTTTGACCAAAGTGTTGACGATAAGTATGACGTTTATGATCCATAAAATTGGAGAAATGGTGCCAATGGCGAGGTTGTAGTGCATGATGTCTCTCCATCTAGAGTAGCGTAAGCACTGGCGGCAGTAACAAGGTGACAATTTTTCGTCGGTGATGAGCTCGTAGGATTCGGAGAATTGAGGGAACATTTGGCTTCTTTTGGATGACATGATGGTAGGAAATCATGAGGAAACTTTGGATCTTTTAAGGATGGCAGGATGTTCGATTTGGCTGCGAAAACGGCTGCGAAATGTCTCAAGAGATTGCCCGAAATGGCTTCACAATGATCTTCCCTTCATAATTCATTTGGATTGTTTTGGGTGAGAAAGAAGTTTACTTGAAGCGAGTTCGATTTACTTGAAAGCTTTCAAAATACTTGCTTTATTTGGATGGACTTTTCTATGAATTCAATCGAGATATCGAGGTACGACGTTGCTGCTCATACAGCATGAGGAATAGAATACCATTTGAAAAAGTAAGAGTCCTTTTGGACCTCGAGGTTTCTGCCCTAGCCTCGTTATCGTACGCTCATAGCATCGTTTCCTCGAATAAAAGGCAGACTTGGACAAACAGGCCCTCTTTAGTTCAAAATGCTTCAATCAAAATATATACGTATTTTGGGGCATCCACTATTATCGATATGTAATAAGAATTTTAAGTAAGGTTTTGTTGGATTATTGCAGCTACAAAACTGGGAGGTTCAACATGACAAAGTACGCACAAATCGCATAAAATCAACTTTACGCCGCAGAAAACGCGATGTTTGCATCTTTCGAGTAAATCAAACTCGATCACCAAAAACCACAAATCTAGCTCCAAAGCTGAAAAACAAACTTGCATTAAACGCGTTTAATATCACAGCTTCAGCTCCTTTACTCCTCACCCATGCTGGCTTGATACGCGTGTTCCCGCCATGTCTGCATTAGATCTACCTAAGATAGTCGATTCCCTTCAACTGAAGAAAGTCAAACAAAGAAATGATTCACTACAGCTTCTACGATCCTTTTCAGCTGCAAAACTTAAACTCACACCTAGGCACTTTGTCGTGCTTCTGGAAGGGCTCCTCAAACTCATCGAGATAGAACGAGACATCTATGGAAACAACCCAACCTCAGCCACCCAGCAACGTCTATTGACAGCATCTACCATGCTCAAAGATATCTTTGAAGAATCGTTGAAAAGAGGTCAACTACGATACAAGCATTGCACGAGCCTCTTTTCTAACGTGATCTCATCATTCTTTCTTCCAGAACCACACTCCATCCTAGCGCCCTGTGCCATTGACTTCGCCAAGATCCTCCAAAGTCTTCTACGGGAACCGTTTTTCCTTACTCATTTACCAATCGACTCTTGGAATCGAGGGTACAAGTTTTTGGTAAGACTGCTAACTGCCGCGTTGGACACCACTGACCATCATGACTACCAATTCTCTCGCGAGTCGCTATTAACTGATCTACTAAGTTCATTGCATTGCATCATTGGAGGTGCCACAGAGGATATTTATGAACCCCTCAAGAGGCTGAAGCTCTATGTTCCCTTACGAAAGATTCTCAGCGATGTGTTCGAGATTTATAACAAACGTGAGAGCTCCGTGCTTGTCGAGGCATTAAAAGTCACCAACAAGCTCTTACTCACGTTAGCATCCGAGGATTTTAACTTCTGTCATAGATTGATTCACACAGCTCTTCAACCATTGATCAACTTCGCTCATACAATGGTGGACGGAATGTTAATCCAGATTGTCATTCTTATCAACCTGGAAAGCTTTCACAGATATCTCACGATTGACTCTTTACCTCAACTAATCACTAACGATCTCGTTGAGGATTCGAGTGAGGAAGAGAGCTCCACTAGAAAGCGGCTGGACCCCTTTTCTGTCAGAGCCCAGCAAGGCGAATCCTCGACATACAACGTAGGAGTTCTTGCTCAGGCGCTTCTTGATAGAATAGCTGGCCTGAGTCACAAGCTTTTGGAAAGCGACATAGATTTCGAAGAAAATGAAACTGCCAAAGGCTGGTTCGACTTATCGTCAATTAGCTTAAAGACCGGTCAAGAAGTTCAGTGGCTCCTTCTTCGTGGAACAGTGAGACTTATCATGGCATATTACAACCTTTGCATGGAGGAGACATACTCTAACTTTAACCAAAGCTTTCTTTCAAGTAAACTCAAGAGAGTGAAAATTCAAAGCACAGTCCTCAATATCAAATCATTTGAAAGCATGGATGCGCTCTTGAAACATATGATTGGATTTTCCAAGGACGTGAGACTTCAAACATTAGGGCTACAACTACTCATTTTTACAAAGGATTCTGAGCCTGTCGATAATTCACCACAATTGCCTAAAAAGAGATCATGCCTGGAAAATGATCACACCATGAATAACGATGAAACAACAATCATCGATGTTCATCTTGACGAAGATGTTAACCCTGGTGATGAGGACTGCAACTACTTATCACAGCTATTAAAATATTTCAACAATAAGGACCTTACGTTTTGGTGTCTTTTAGGAATATTCACTATACTTAGAAGACTCGAGCTATCCGAATGTTACGACAATCAGATCATCACTCGCCGGTTGCATCAAATAATAAGAATTGTCACGCCGATGATAAAGCTGGATGATTACTCTCGCCTATCTTGCCGTGTAATCAGCTTCATTTTGTTTTCATACCATCCTGACCGTCTTTACCGTCTTGTTGATCACAGCTTAAGGTCGCAAATACAGAATCTTTTAGAATTGGCTGAAATCAATGGCCCCAGCTCTCTTCATTGTGATGCACTTCGTTACTGGTGGGCCTTGCATTGGTCAATGACAAAACTGACTAACGCAAAATCGGATGTTATCAATAGGGCAGCGGGAAGATGGTTTTTATCCAAGTTAAACGATGAACTCTCATCTGACATAATACGTACCAGATCAGAGCCCACTCGTGCCCGAATGATAGGTTCTTTCATTCTGTGGTTGCTGGGAAACGAGATTCAAAATTTGCCTTCCAAAAGTGATGACTGGGACAAAAGTGATCGACTGACAATCTATTTGGGTTCTGCAGGGCACAATTCTGACTTCGAGAAATTTCTTGATCTAAAGAACATTGACTCGAGACGACTCGTTCACGAACCAAAGATTTTACTTTGTGATGGTAATCTGGACATGACAGCGTCTATCTTTGATCGAATCCATCTTATTAGCTCTCGCCTCATGGTTGGAAGCGAAGGTATAGACAGATTGTTTCACTGGGCAGAGATTATAGCACACATCAAAGAGGCTTTAAGAGTTCGAGAGCAATTTATCCCCCCTGATATTGAAGAGACTTGCGAAAAGCTCTGGAGATGCCTTTTTATGAATCTGTCCTCCCAGGAGGATTATGCTATCATAATGAGACTCCTTCTACTTTCCGACCTAAATCAGCCATTAGCAATCGATAAGCTTTTTGTGTTTCGACAAATTGAGCATTTCATGTTTGGCCTTAATTCTACATTCCAGACAGCTGGTTCTTCTAGTCCCAATGACATCGAATTCGAGGAGGAGTTTCTGAATACCGGGTCAAGTAAAGCGACCCCCATAACACAACTGCCCCAGTTGGGTACTGAAATGACGACGCTTTACTTTCGTTCCCTTGTCAAATTTGACGGTGACATCGCTCTGATGCTCACGGCCCTCGATGTATGCGATCCGGAAACAACTCTTCAATGCATCTCAGTACTATGTGATTCACCATTAATCTGCAAGATCAGTTCCGAAGAAGCTATAAAACTAATTAGGATGCTTGGAGAGGGTCCGTTGTCATCACATCGAATGGATAGAGCCAGTCATACAGTGTTTGTTACAAGCAAACTATTAAAAAAGTTATTACCGTTGATTGATGGATACGATGAGACCGACTTTCGCAAGGACTTTACAGATCTCTTGGGCTTTTTGCTACAATGTGAAGAGAAGCTGTTGTTTTTGATTGAAAGCTGTCGTTATAATGTCATCTCCTTGATATTTGAATGTCTCACTCTTCATTTTGATTTACGTTTGGGCGCTGAGACAGCAAATAGAGCCTTATTGTCCTCGTCGAATTCATTAAGAACTTCTCTTCTGGGTTCTGTGAGGCTTTATCTCAACAACATGAATTCATTTGATCAACTCAACCTTTACCGTTCCTTGTTTGAAACATTCCCGCATCCTCAGGCGTCAGTCGAGCGAGCAGCCGCCTACTGTTACTTTTTCACCATAGTTTCGTCGGGAACTACTCAAATCAAAATACCCACGATTTTCAACTTGTTGGAATGTCATAAGTATGACTTTTTTGTACCATACTTAAAATTGGGTCTCTCAAGGTTGTGTCAGGGCTCTCCTTTATCTTCACCTCGAAAGCTTTTCCGATCAATGAGGATAGAGCTATTAAAGTCATGGTGGAATAATGATATACCCCTAGAAACTTTCCCATACGAACTCTTTGACTACATTGATTTCAAGGCTTTCGCTGTTGAAAACTACAAAGAAATCGTTTCTATTTGCATGGCGATCAAGAGTCAAAGGAGCTCTTCACAAATAATGTCGCAGTTATCGCAAGTATCCAAGTGCAAGGGTTATGACATTCAAAATGTGCTTTACGACTCTTTACCAATTCTTATTCCCTTGGCCTATACTTCAGATGGTGTGAGGAATGAGATTTTTAAGTCACTTCTGCCATATCTCAACAACCTATACAAGGGCTATATGAGAGAAAAGGTTTTGCTTATAATTCTTGAAACTCTCAGAATGACTGATACTGGATCAGAAGTTGCCTTGAGTGAAGTCTTGTCTAAAAGGACAACTATGGATCTATTCATGTCCCCGATTCGTATAGACAATTCTATGAGGGCCACAGTGACGCCAGTTTCCAGTATAGACCTAATTGAAGCCCTCATTTCAAAATTTTGGTCACCAGAAAAAGGTGAATTTTGGACAACAAAGGTTTGTTATTTCATGCTTCGACAGTTGGGCAGGGACGTGCTAAATGAAGATCCAGATTTGCAACTTATGGCTTTACGCAAAATTAAGCTTGTTGTCAGCCAGGTGCCATCATGTTTAAAAGACGCCGCTGTTATCTCTTTGGTCATTGAAATATGCACCCTCTTGGTGGGGTTCAGAGCAGCACACGAGGCTGACGTGCTTATTTCACAAATTTCAGTTGAAGACATGACATCCTTTGGGCAAGTACATTCAATGTTCACAATCGCCAAGCTATTCATCCGACTTATGGATGAGAATGAAGCCGACTTATTCAAAACCTTCGTCGAGAGAATAGCCCACATGTGTCATTATTCACCAAATTCGCTTGGGGTATTCTCGAATCTACTCAGCAATTGCACCATCAAACTCTCTGGAGGATCAGTGATTGCAAATCTTGATGAGTTGGAAATCATTCTACAACACCTTACACAAGTGGTCCCATCCGGGGAGATTCTGAATTGCATAATTGAACTTTTGATACGACTCTACCATGACACCCAGATCCCCAATCCGAAACGAGCCGAAAAAGATGTTGTCAGGCTTTTTATGAGTATCGATTTTCTGCAAACGAAATCTAACATGTTTGCTATTTGGGTTGCAAAGTATCTCAGCTTTTATTATTTGCACTGCACTAAAATGGGTGACATTTCTGACTTGATCAAGAAGCTTGAGTACGAGAAAACCAATTCCGAAGTTTTTCTTCTCGAATGCTCCTCAATGAACTTTTTTGTTGAGCAGATAGTGAATATGCTGAGAGGGAGTGGCTACCAGGAAAAAGCATTTGCTGAATGCATTCTTAGTGCACTTTTATGGAAGTTCGATGCTCGAAAACCAGATAGCGAAAAATTTGTCGACTTCAAAGCTTTTGTCAACAATATTGGCAATTTTCTTATTCCAATGGATTTCCATTCATCAATTCTCATCGTTTCAGAGGGGAGTCACCCTATGAAAGGCAATGATGGCCTTTCACAAGTCATAGAATCTCTTAGGTCGCGGGTTATTACTGACGAATTTACTGAATGGTCCAGTCAAATTATGCTTGCAATTTTTCAAGAAATTGCAAGATATACGAGTATTGCATCACTATTTGCTATTTGTGTCGTGAAATTTCCTCAATTGGCAGCCAAAAGCTTACCCCATCTAGTATGTTATTACCTTTTCTTATTAGATGAGAAATCGTTACCAATCATTTTGGCGCTCATAGAGAACATGGTCAGTTGCGATGCCCAATTAGGAACTGGGGGTCTTGATCTTTTGGCTCGAATAGTCATTTGTGTTCGAATGGGATCCAAACATGATGGAAGCATTTATCAAAGGCTCTATTCCAAACTCAACCTTGAGAAGCTTTACCTGGTCCTAAAAGACAGCAAGCACTCGAAGACTGCATTACTTTTACTCGAAGATGCAACGCAAGGAAAGGGAAGAAAAGTTGATTGGGATAAATGGAGAACATCAATTCTGAACATTTATGAGTCAATTGATGACCTTGATATGCTTTACGGAGTACCCCAAGAGCCTACTCTCAACAACACTATCCATATGCTGAAGCGAATTGCATCAACTTCCGAAATTTTGCGGAACGATCTCGCTATTCTTGACTCTGCAGCGTTGAGAAATGAGGCAAATGACGACAGTGCCACAACGAAGTCTCTTCTTGCTGATGGTTTGATGGGCATGTCAAGGGTGTTCTCTCTGAACTCTACTGGTGAGACGGGATGCTACGAATGGAGCTGGAAATTGAGCAAATGGAACATTCCGCTTTCAGAAGAACCCAAATCAGACCACGAGATTATTTATAATTATTTTAAGGGTCTTCGGGTACTGCTGAATACCTCAGATTGCCTTTATAAAGCAATAAGTGATTCTTTTTTCCAGAAAAAGAGATTCTCCGATGGAGAACTTTCTCACCGCTCTAATCGACAATTGTACCAGAGATGGTTTGTGACTTTGTCCTCATTGACAGAGGTAGAGGATATTTTGAGGATCACAGAGGATCAAATTCTGACCAACATTCGCAAATTTGGTCATTTGTCTTCCTGGTTTGAAGATGCTGATATGGAAAATCTGGAGAACATCTTATTATGTCGAAGAGAAGCATTCAGGTTGAGAATAGATGGCCCGTCTTCGAAAAGTTCCCTATTGGAGTCAAATGAGGCCCAAAGTATATGTTGGCAAGGTCTTATTCACGAAATTCTGACTTACAATACAGTTGCTAGGTTGAACAACCACTCTCAGAAAATGCTAAATTCAGCTGTTCTCATGGATGAATACACTTCACATCTTTCAGGATTGGTTGACTGGAAGACCATGCGCAATTTCGTCTCTTTCTCAATTGCACAGACATTGTGGACGCAGGGAAATTCGACTGCACCAATTGCAATGCTTAAAAGCTTGGTCTCACAAGAGGCAGCTGAATCATTGGCTCAAGATCTATTACATTTGGACCATCGCATGATAATTTCTCACTTAGTATTGTGGCTAGCGGACTCACGCGAGGAACTTGGTGAAAATTTATTACGTCAGTATGTTGAACCAATGGAGAGCAACTTATCGGAAATTTATGACTCGATCCAAAGGTTCAAATCCTTTCTGCTTCTAGCAAGATTTTGCGAGAAGCAGTTCAAAGCCAGCGCTCTCAAAACCCAGATTAGTAATTTAAAGCTGCGAATAAAGGCTAAGAAGGATGAAATCGAGGTAATCAAATCACACTATGGGAAGACTGCCGTTACACCAAGCGAAAGAAAATCAGTTCAAAAGTACTATAACAGGCTCAAAGCTCAGGTTGCTGCTGACTCAATCGATCTACAATCATTGGAAGACACTACAATGAAATTTGGTTGCAAAAGTGCCACATTCTATCTCAGCGCATTACTCGCGGGTGACGAAGGGCAAGAAATTGAGGACCGTTTTATATCTTTGTTCCTTGAACTTTCATCCTACCAACCGCTACATGCTTCGCTAAAGCAAAACCTTCAATCACTCCCGAGCTATAAGGCGCTTTCATGGTCCACACAATTGATGGCTCGCCTTTCGAGTGACACCAATGAGTTTCAAACTTCCATTCAGCAACTTATCATTCGCCTTTGTTTCGATCATCCGTTTCACACACTTTACATGCTTATCTCACTATTATACCATAAGGAAGTTGCACAGGACACAGGTAACAACACCATGCTTCTAAGGGTCAGTGCAGCCGAAAAGATATGGCAAAAACTTATGGCCCAGGACGAAGACTTCTCTAAATCTATCCTTCATCCCATTGAAAAGTTATGCGGAGAATCAACTATCCTTGCTAAACATAAGAGTTCGAGGGGGCGTGCTTTGCACCTCGACAAACTCGAGATTGGAAATTACTGGCTTCACGAATTGCCTCAAATTCCACCTCCTACGTTCGAAATTCCTGTTTCAAAGACTGGCTATAAGGACATTCCGAAAATGGTGTCTTTCGACCCTAAGGTGAGTATTGCAACTTCAGGTCTCAGCTTGCCGAAGATTGCCACATTCACCTTGTCTGATGGTTCCCGCCGCAAGATGCTTCTCAAATACGGAACTGATGACTTGAGACAAGATGCAACAATGGAGCAGGTTTTCGAGAAAGTGAACACAATTCTTGAAAGAGACCGAGAGACAAGGAAAAGAAAGCTACATGTCAGAACTTACAAGGCGATCCCATTAGGACCTAAAGCAGGTGTGATAGAATTTGTCCCCAACTCCAAGGCGCTTATCGAGGTCATCAAGCCGTATCATCAAAGACAGGACAAGTTGAAGTACGAGAAAGCGAAGGAGGCGATGAAGGATTGTCAAAGCTCGACTTTGAAGGAAAGGCTTCAAACTTACGAGTCAATCACGGCAAAGATCGATCCAGCACTCCACCAGTACTTCAGTGACCATTTTGTTACCCCCGACGACTGGTACGAAAGCAGACAAAAGTTCACTAGAGGTATCGCATCATCCTCAATGGTGGGTCATATACTAGGTCTTGGTGATCGGCACTGCAATAACATATTGCTTGAGGAAACTACTGGCGAACCAGTGCACATTGATCTCGGAGTTGCGTTTGATCAAGGAAAAAGACTCCCCATTCCCGAAACAGTACCCTTCAGGCTTACAAGAGATATAGTGGACGGGTTCGGATTCACAGGAGTTCACGGAGTCTTCGACAAGCTGTGTGAACACACTTTCAGGGTTTTGAGAGAGCACAAGGAGCACATCATCGCAATTCTTGATGCGTTGAGATGGGACCCTTTGTATCTGTGGTCGATCTCACCGCTAAGGAAAAAGAGACTACAAGATGAATCAAAAGTTCCTCTTCCTGAACCTCAAGAGGATGGTTCTGAGGCAAACGCTGCCGTGCTAACGGTTTTGGAAAAAGTGGATGCTGGCGGCTTGAGTGTCGAGGCTACTGTCAGACAATTGATAAGAGAAGCTACATCTCCCGAAAATCTCGCACTTATCTATTGTGGATGGTGCCCTTTTTTCTAGCGCTCGAAATCTGGGGTTTCGCGCGTCTATAAATGAAACTTGATACTATAGTGAATGGCTTTAGAGGGGCGAATTATCACCGTGCCTCTTGACGTATACCAAAGAGAAAACGATCAGTTTATAAAATCATCACAACTACACATAAAGATCCAAAATCATGAAGTAGACGGCAAGAAATCCTACTCGTTGCTCTTTGCATGCCAGGAAGGGATGTATAGCAGTGATTTGAGTCCTACCAAAGTCAAAAGGTGCAAGTCGAAAAAAGACATTGATGAAGAGCTGTGGACTGAGATGTTCGAGCGCTTATTTGATGATAACGTGATGGCCGGAGACATTGAAGTCGAACCTCATGAAAGCGTGGAGATTGCCGCAAAGCTCGAATCACTGGAGAGCTACGACAGCAATACCGGAGAATTGACTGATGGCGATTTGGCTGATGATCCGCCAACACTCACAATTATGATTCGCTCTAAAGGTAAATTGAGTGTGGAGTATGGCTCTTTCCAAGCACAGGTCAGAGAGGTAGATTCTCAGGACAATGAAACAAAACGTGAGCTCGACATACTAAATTGGGTCCTGCTACAGTCTAATCAGATTACTCAATTGGTCAAGAAAATTGAGGCTTCGGAGAACGAGCTACGGAAATTGCGGGAAGACAACCAAGCGAAAGACGAAGAGATAAAGCAGACCACAGATGACTATAACACAATTCTACGAGATCTTGAAGATCGATTTTACCAGGTTTTGAACGCTAAAAGACAGAAGATTCTCGAACTACTGGGCGATGGTGAGGACGATATCAAGCACTTGAACGAAACTTTCGAAGTGAAAAACAGAACCAACTTGAATCGTGTTCGAGTTGAAGAAATCATCAAGGGCGAGGGCTTTAAGGCCTTTGAGGAGAAGCAACAAGAGAAGGACTTAGCCAAAAGTTCCAAAAAGCGTAGGTCCTCCGGCTCGGGAGACACTGCCAGGAAAAGAAGAACGGTGAAAAAGGAGCCTCGAAAGAGTGAGAAGAATGAAGGAGAACCTAGCATAAAAAAAGAAGACGAGGAGGTGGAATTGGCTGTACGAGAGGAGGAGCGGCCTGAATTCATCAAGGACGAAGACAATGACAATATGGAAGATACTTCTATTGAGGAGAATAAAAGCATAGAAAAGGCGTCCAGTGCCGAGGAAGGAAGCGTCACAGAGCAATCCGAAGAAGCCACAGACTATTCCGATAACGACACTCAGGTGAAACGTGAGGAAGATTCCAGCGTGCAAGATGGCTTTGACAGCACGTCAGGCACGACGCAGCCAGTGGAAGTGGATGAAGAAGAAGAGGAGGAAGAGGGCGAGACTGATTACAGCGATTGAGAAAATCCATAGATTTGCTCATCCTTTAGGACAGTAAAAAATCACCTGTCACAAGACTGCAAACACCAATTGTCTCCATTTGGGCTGTGGTTGCGAAAAGCATCGTGAAGACACATACTCCTTCACATAGGTCAAGAAATACCGGTACACTGCGCCAAGTCAAATCAGGGGTTCCAGGCGGAGTTTTGACCAAAGTACCAATCTAAAAGCTCAAGTTTTCGTAATTTGCAACCGGTTGTGTATTTAGACCGTTGGTTGTCAAGTGTAAGCGAAAGGGAAAAAAACGTCCGAGGAGTCGCAGTTTTTTTTTTTTTTTTTTTTTTATTTTTTATTTTTTTTTTTTTTTTTCCTTCAGCGAGACCTGTGGCCAAAAAGTTTCCTCACGATCTTTCCTTTCTCCAACGCAACTACACTCATCTTCAGTTCTCAGAACACTGCCGTGATTTCGACACCCATTTTTTTTATTTATTATCTGTGTCCAAAATAGTCGGCGGCCCCCATTTCAATCTTGCATTCCCCGCCGCCAGCCACTTTCGTCCATAACATTCTTGTTTTTATTTGTCAAGAAGTTTGAATCAGACCCCGATCTCACTCTTTCCAACTGGACAACTGGACAAACATCACTTCCATAATTAATCAGCTACACTGGGCTCTTTATTTCTACGAACATCTTTCATTTGGGCTTTTATACTTGGTGTTTCCATTCCTTCGTTCGTCATATCTTAGCATCGCATAATGTCATACTACAACCCATATCAAGGTATGCATCAGCAGTATATGGGCCAGCCATACTACCAATACTACCCTCAACTGGACTCCAACGGTCAGTTGCATGGTCAGGAGCAGCACGAACAGCGGCATCAGTTCCTCCCGGGTGCTCAGTATGATCAGTTCGGCTCTCACTCAGATAACCTTGGTGGTTTCCCTGATGAGAGAGAACGCCTGCCTCATGCCGGTCACTTCAACAACGGTGACCTCTACGGCGTGGAAGAAAGCAACTTTTTTGATGACTCTGATCTTCCCCACGCGTACGGCTCGAATCACCAACCTTTGTCGGCAGACGCAGCCTTGAGCCGCCAGATGCAAGAGCAGTTAAATCTTGGAGGCTTCCCCGGCGAGTCAAACTTCGGCCACTCGCCCTTTGTTGACGGTAACGCTGGTCATGTTCCCCAGACACCCAGTGGGGAGATTCTTCTTGGTGGATCGGGCCAGGCAGGTATCGTACCACCCTCGCCTAACAACGGGTCTAACATGCCCACGCAGGTTGCTCCTTCCAGAACGGTTTACTTGGGTAACATTCCGAGCGACATCGAACCTAACGAGTTGTTAGATTACGTGAGAAGCGGTATCTTGGAGAATGTCAAGATCTTACCTTCCAAGAATTGTGCATTCATCTCGTTTATCGACGCCCAATCAGCATTGTTGTTCCATTCTGATTGCATTTTGAAGAAACTCCACATCAAGGGTAACGATATTCGTATCGGTTGGGGTAAGAACGCACCAATTTTGCCGGCTGTGATGGAAGCTATTCAAAGGGATGGAGCAACTCGTAATGTCTATCTTGGAAACTTGAACAACCCTGTTACTGGTGAAATTATTCTGGAAGACGAGTTGAGGGAGGACTTGTCTACATTCGGTGTTATCGACTGCATTAAAGTTATCCCAGACAAGGGTATTGCATTTATTCATTTCTTGTCCATCTTGAGTGCTATCAGGTGCGTTGCCAACTTACCTTTGAAGGAGAAATACTTGGACAAGAAATGCTTCTACGGTAAGGATAGGTGTGCCTTTATCACCAAGACTCAACAGCACAATGCTGCACAGTACTTGGGTTTGGCTCCTGGTATGGAACACGTTGTCACTGCCGCTGATAGAGAGTTCATTTCAAGTGCATTGGTTCAACAGTCTGCCGCTGCTGCACAGATTGCCACGCAAGCTGGTGGTGCCAACAACTTGGGTAATAGAACTGTTTATTTGGGTAATTTGCATCAGGAATCTTCTGTGGAAGAGATTTGCAATGTGGTGAGGGGTGGTTTGTTACAAAGTATTCGTTTCTTGAGTGAAAGACACGTTTGCTTCATTACATTCATTGATCCGATCGCCGCTGCCCAATTCTTCGCTATGTGTCAGTTACACGGCTTGACAATTCACAACAGAAGAATCAAGGTGGGCTGGGGAAAGCACTCAGGTCCTTTGTCCAACGCCTTGTCATTGGCTGTCTCCAATGGTGCGCTGAGAAACATCTACATTGGTAACATCACCGATTTCGAGTACTACAACGCTAAGAAGTTGAGGAAGGATTTCACCAAGTTTGGTGACATCGAGCAAATCAATTATCTCGAGGAGAAGAATTGCGCGTTCATTAACTTTGTCAATATTGCCAATGCCATCAAGGCTATTGACGGTATCAAGTCCTTCGACGACTACAAAAAGTTGAAGATCAATTTCGGTAAAGACAGATGTGGTAACTTGCCTAGGCAATTCCAAAACCAGCAGCAGGTGAACCCAAACATGAACTTGCCACAGTTTGCAAGTAGCATGACGCAGCCCAGTGACGACAGCTCAAACTCTGACACTGAATTTGTTGACGAGAACACGAAGGATCCAAGCCAATAAAAAAGCAGAGCCGTTTAATGGCTCACGACTAATATATTTTACATCAGCCGCAAGGCTAGAAATCTCATGTTGAACAGCATCTAAGGTATATACTATAATTCAAATTCTGATCACATCTTTGGTAGGAAGTTTATAAGCACCAAAGCGATGAAAAACACGACAACAATAAGAATCATCATCTTGATGAGGAAAAAAATGCTGATCTTTCCGCCACTCTTTTCGTTCAAGTAGCCATTGAGATTGGTACCGACCGTTTGCATCAATGACAGACTCTTCATCATGTTTTCACTGGTCTCATTAAGCACTTTGGTGTCATCTGTAACCTTCGAGGAGAACGCAAAAGCGGAGTTTTTGAGTGCAGAGGCGAGGCCCGAAAGGTCCTTGATTATGTCTTCTTGGAACGTTTCGTGGTACTCATTCATCTGATCTGCGGATTTATTCTGGTCATCTAGAGATGTGGATGTGCCATCGGCCAAAAGCCTCTTCCTGAGGGATGCGTAATCCTCTTCCGTGTTATCGTTTGTCGTGAGATCAGAGGAGGATTGGTTGACTGACAGTGCTTGCTGTGGAAGCTTTGATTGTTTTTGTGCATTCTGACGCTCTATAGCTTTCTGTATTTTGTAATCTTGCTCGTCTACCAACGCTGATAGACTATTGAGCTGAGCCTGAATTGAATCGTGTTGCTTGTTTCCTTTGTTGGCATTCAATGCACGTAGTAGGTGAGGAAGGTCATTCTGGATTCGTTGGAGGGTGATGGTTTGTAGGAATGGATCCGCTGCAATTGAAGACGAAGAAGACTCAAGATCCTGCTTGTGTCTCTCCACGATGAGCAGCACAGCCGATGGTGAAAGGGACATGCTTGGGAAGATTGGTGGAGTTGATTGTGGTGTGTACCAGTGCGCAGTACGTATCTAGTAGCTCATAGTAAAGAGTTGGAAATGCTAACACAGAAATCGACAAAAACGTCTTGAAGGTGATGGATTGTCTCATCAGAGGATTTCGGGAAACGACTTTTAGAAGCAAAGCTAGAGATCAGGTTGGTTGTTGGTAAGAGGGTGGCTGAAGTACACCAAGGAGACAGAAAGCAAGGAAACCTAACGCTGATCTGCTCAATTGAAGGCAGCAGTCGTTGGAAGCCTGATCTGGCTACCACAAGCCCTCTGTGACTACGCTGAATCAAATGTAAGCCCCACTACTATCAAACGACGGCGCGTGGGATTCGGCCGCTGTTAGCGAAAAGGGTTTTTCTTTCTCTGAGGCCCCCGCCACAGAGTGGTACCGTGTGTCCATACGAATTTTGGAGAAACCCCAATGGTGTGAACAGGTGGGAGGCCTTAGAGAAGAAATCAGCGGGAAAAAAAATTCTTCATCTAAGATGAGGTGCACTGCAGGACTGGCTGCGAAACCCAGCGGCAGACAAAGAGATCTCATGATTCTGGGCGGGAATATATACCAGGCGAAGAATGGGGTCACAGTTTTTTCGGGAGGCCTTTGTGGGTAGGGGCCACAGCAACTTTGGATTATGGACTTTGAGGAGTCACACAAGAGAAAAGAAACGAAAAATCAAATCCCCACCGATGTCGGAGCCATCCCTGTAGGTGCCTCGGCTTGGACGATCGCCGGGCGTTTGAGGTGCAAATGTTTCCAAGCCCACGCTATTTCGGCAAATCAGCCGTTGTCGCTTCCTTCAGTTTTCCGCTTTTTTTTTTTTTTTTTTTTTTTTTCTGTTCTGCTTTTCTTCAGCCGCCCCAGCTTACTGTGCCCAGAGTTTCCACCCATTGTTTGCAGGGGCCTCAATCGACAACTGGAACCTTCCGGGCGCACTGCCATGGAACACAGGTCTAACCGCACCGTTGCGGCGAATTCGCAGCCATTCCGTGGGAGCTGGACAAGCCCATTGTGGCCCGGTGGGCAAATCAAAAGTCGTCTTTTCTTGACTAAATCAATTCTCTCGTCAATCCTCCTTAGATTCTGCAAAAAAACCCACCGGGTAAATCGCTCAATCGCGGTATACGCCAATCGTTCACCTGGGGTATGGGGCCTGCGCCTGGCAGAGCAATCCAGACTCGCCTATATTGGCTCGCGCCTGTGGCATACATTTTTTTTTTTTTTTTTCTCCCTTCGGCCCCAATTTGACTGAGGCCTGATTTCGCCTAATGTGCCTTTTTCTTGCGCTTACTCTACCGCCGGCCACGATCTGGCCTCGTATCCTCGGGCTGCACGCCTTCTTATACTTGATCCAAACAAACCCAAAGAATTGGCGAATATCGTGAAATTGGGCCCCCGATCGACCCAGATCAATCTCAAACTGCTTTATCGTCTCTATTTATTTTTTAGTCCCATCGTTCTCCCCTTAAATTTCGTGCCCTGCTGCTGGGGCCACGCCTGCACTGTCTGGTTCATCTATTTTTGTTTTGTTTTGCGGCCTCTGCTATGCGTGCACACGGGCTTGACACCATTCAGGCCCTTGACAATTACCTCCCACCGTTTCTTCTTCTTCTTTTTCACCTCCCAACAAACCCACACATAACAGTTCCCCCGGGCTCCAGGCCTCATATCGCCATGCTCCTCCTTCTTGCGCTACTACTAGTAGCCCCCGGCACCTTCGCCGACAGCTTTTCCAACTTGGGCTGTTTCCGCCAATCAGACCTACTGTCCTACTTGTCCAAGGAGGACTCATACATGTACCAGTCCCTGGGCCATTGCCAACAGGCTTGTGAGGGCAAGGCCGTGGCCGCGTTGATCGACGGCAAGTCGTGCTACTGCGGTCTGGCCATCCCGGCCGACAGTCTCCTGGTTTCCAGCTCAAGCTGTGACTCCCCCTGCCAGGGCTACGACAAGGAGAACTGTGGTGGTGACGGCTACTTCGATGTCTACGTCAATGCCGAGGCCGACGCCACCACTTTTGGCGCTTCGTCCTCCTCCTCGTCCTCGTCTTCGTCCTCATCATCCTCATCAACATCGTCATCCTCCACGACATCTTCCTCCTCCAGCTCCTCCAGCTCCTCGGAAACATCATCTTCGACTTCGTCCTTCTCATCTTCGTCTGCGGCCGCCTCCTCGACTTCGGATTCGTCGTCGTCCCTGCATTCATCCTCCTCGTCGTCAGATGACGCCAGAACAAGCACATTTGTTTCTACAGCTACAGCAAGCGCCAGCGGCGGCGGATCTTCCGTCGTCGAAATAACCACAACCGTGCGGTCGTCTCCCTCTGAATCCTCAGCTTCCCTGTCGGGCACGGCACTGCCAGAGCACAGACAGGCTGAATCAGGCGGAAATTCTTTGTCTGGCGGCAGCATTGCAGGTATTGTCATCGGATGTGTTGCGGGTGTAGCAATCATTGCTGGATTATTCCTATTCTTCTGCTGGTGGAGGCGCAGAGACAACGACGACGATGATGACGAGCAATTCTTCGACATGGGCGGTGCCAACGACAAATCGTTCAACCTGATGGCACCTAACCCATTTATGGCCGGCGCTGCTCCAGCTGCCCAGGGCACACACACGCATAATAACTCCAACACCACCAAGTCGTATTCGTCCAATAACGAGGAGGCGTTCTACTACGAGGCTCGACACAATGAAGATCCGGAAGGTCCGAACAATGACTTCTTACGGCCGCCCGAGGAGTTTGGCCGCCGACGGCTTTCAAATGGGTCGTTGCCCGACATGGTGCAACGCAACCCTGGCTCCTTGAAGGTTGTCAACACATAACATGCGGCAACCGAATAGCCCAAAGTGCCGCTTCGCTCCTGTGGCATACGCGGCGTTCCCGGTTGTCTAGGCATAGATTACGCTTCCAGTCACGATAAGTTCAATGTTCTACATCGCTCTTTAACTCAATTTTATTTACTTCTATTCTCACGCCCTGGCGTGTTACATGGTTAATACTACGAATTCAAGCATTCTTTTCACCTTTGTAGCTCAAACAGACCGCGCTCAGTGCCTGTTCTAGAAATGTTCACGCGTGCAGTCTGGAAACTTCCGCGCGTCTCGGCACTGCAAGATTCCTCCTCTAGCGGTTATAACAAAGAGGAAAGTGCGCTCCATAGAGCACGGAATACAAGTGTATTCAGTTGGCGTCTTGGAAGTTTGTGATAGGTCCGTGATACCTTTGTTGCTGAGATGTTCTAATTTTAGGTTTAAGGCGAACGAGGTTACTCTATTGTACTCCTCTGACGTAAATGCGTGCCCCTAAAAGATCGTCTATACTTTCATCCAAATCACTGCAGTGACATATTCTCGAGGCAAATTGAATTTCTTCTTCGTCGCCCAAAAGTAACATGAATGCGTTATTAAGATCCCTCGACAGCGTCATTCAGATCGGTCTGATTCATCGACAACCGTCTTCTATTCGTGACGCCATGTCGCTCATTCAAGCATGTTGCTGAGATCATTCGAGAAATGTCGCGAATGGAGCCCAGGGTCTATTGTCTTTTAGGTTTAGTGTAGCTTTCTACGTCATTCGCGGTGCTTTGTGGTCCCTTCCTTACTCGCAATGACGTCGTTTTTTGCCATGTCTCCGTTGCACATGGTTTTTTTCCAAGCAATTGAAAATTCTTCCGATTTGCTTTCCAGGTATTTTACCTTGCTCTGAGAAGTATCGCTGACGGTTCCATCTTAGACTTAAAGTCTATCAATGAATCACCGACAGAATATGTTATGAAAACACCCAAAGTCAAAAGTTTATTTGCTTTATTCCAATATGATTTAGAATCAACAACTGGATGACAGAATTACTATCAGAAGAAGGCTACATGCTGACTTGGGAATGCAATTTAGCTTTTGACTTCATGATCTTCCTAAGCTTCATCGCAGCCGGCTAGATCTCCGACACAAGCCACATAGCAAAGCAAGGATCACTCCTTCCATGATTTACGTCGGCTGGAACCCAGAAACATGCGGCTGAATGATCTTGTAAAGCGGGTAAGACTGGTTTTAGGTGAGCACTGGTATTGGTTTCAGATCATTAGCTGGAAATCAGCTCCTACACTCGACGACGAGATCTGAGACAACAAATGTAATTTTTTTTTTCTCCAACGATTAATGTTCATAATAGGATCGGAAGCAGTTTTTTTGCTGCATACCCAGGTCCACTCATGTGTCCCTGTCATTCTCCTTGTTGCCAACTAAATCCTGGCATGTCTATCGGATCTACGCCATGAAACAGCCTGGCTGCAACCAGAGCCATTTCCCTTCGGACCCCTGTCTACGTTCTTCCATCCCTGAGCACCGCACTGCCCCACTTTGTCATGTTCCATTTGTCGGACAACACCTTTTGGCTCACATCAACAGTTTGTCAAAACGGTTATCTATAAAAAGCCTACCCTCTAGTCCAGCCCGAGCGGCTAAGTGCATATTTAACGGTCTACGCCTCATGACTGTCACAGCCCTGAGCTGCAAATAACCACATTGCCCGATTCGGCGCAGCCGTACTGCGGTACCTTGTCATGCACCGTAAAATATTATGGTTAAGCTCTGGTCTAGAGAGGCCTGGTTGGACCAAAACATTATGCCGTCCTATAAATAACCCTCACTAACGCACTCCAGGCTGTGCCTTCATGATGCGCGCTGCCTCGTTAATCGCGATATCAGCCATGCCACAATGACACAGGGGCTCAGTCCAAGAAAATATATAAACACGAATTTCCAGATCGGGTGCTAGCCATTGAAGAGTTCGAGGCATTTTTGTTTTGCTAAACAGTCAAAAACTTATTTTACCACCAACCTTTCTTCTCCTGAGTCGCATACCAACCGCATTTTTCCCAATACCCGATGTACATTCCAACCTGCCCCAAAGATATAGTCTCTGGTCTCTCCAGGAGGGACGTCAGATCGACTGCTGAGTCGTTCAAGTCCTGGGACACGTGTATGGACAACACAACTTGCAAGATTGTCGCTATCGTCGGTATCGTTCTTGCTTGTATCGTGGCCATCAGTATTCTTACTACCCTTTTCAGATGCTGCTGCCTAGGCCTCAGTTGTGCTCAGGCCATCTGCTGCTGTTGCAGTCGCGGCAACAGAAGACCCCAGCCTCGCCAGATGCAAGACCCTTACCATAACGCCAACATGTACCCTAGAAGCCAGCCCATGGCACAAGCTCAACCGGCATACTACCCTACAAACAGTTACGATTCGTACCGAAAGCCGAGTCCATACAATGCCGGCACGGGCTATAGAGCAACATAGTTGCAGAACACTGATACCTATATATTCAATGATTTATGAACGAGTGATATTGTGTAGTTGAGTGCAATCAGTGATATTGTCAATGACTAGCAGCATTGGAAGAACAGCACTGTAGCACAACCAATTGATCCTCAAGAGAGACATGAAAGCATTGGTCATAAAAATATGATTCAACCCTTCATTCAGGTCATTTGGAGTACAGCCTTATGTTACCTTATCGTGGCCGTTTTTCGCAGCCATTCTGCGGGAGAGCTTATCACCCGTTGTTTCATCACAACGGGACAAACACTTATCGCAATGATAATCAATGTTATTTTGAGTCCTCAATTAAGGCTTTCAAGAGGATGTTTAGCAGCCTTGGTCGACCTCCTTTCTCAGGTCCCGCAACTGGGTTGCACATCAATCGAGGATCAATGTAAGATAGGAACCACCAAAGCCAAGTTTGCGAGTTTGGAAGAAGCGGTTTTATTTTGCTCCTGAGAGCTTCCCATTTGATATTCTTCAAGCGTCATTAGTAGAGATCGGGATCATAGACTGTAGTTTATTCTATGCTTCCAGTTGCTTACCGTTTCACACGCTGTGCACCTACTTTCTATATATACATTGCCGAAACATTTTTAATGTTGGAAAATAACATTGTTGATCCAATTTGCCTATCTGATTCCTTCGGTGATCCCTTGTTAGTCGATTTCACTGATGTATGTGACGACGTTTACGTGTAGGGCTTCAGCCCTAGGTCGCACTAGGCCTTAACTATGGGCCTTAGGCCTCGCTCTCGACACTGTGCAGGCTCTTCACCAAAAAATTTTTCGCACTACCCTGCCTCACTCACTTAGAAAAAAAAATCAGAAGTCACTCCAACTACATCTATATCAAACATGTCTGGTTCTGGTGCTTCCGGTAACAAGTTCCGTATGTCTGTATGTACCTTTCATGACAATTCCCGAGTTCCAGCAAATTATTCAATACGATCCATCCAAGTCTAGTGAAATTCCAACCTTCCATACGTAATCGACACCTCCATCCATGAACGAAGAATCCACGCTACCTCCATGCTGGCCAAACATAACAATATACTAACAGACAGTTGGGTTTGCCCGTCGGCGCCGTCGTTAACTGTTGCGACAACTCTGGTGCCAGAAACCTTTACATTCTTGCCGTCAAGGGTTTCGGTGCTAGATTGAACAGATTGCCAGCTGCTTCCGCTGGTGACATGGTCATGGCTACCGTCAAGAAGGGTAAGCCAGAGTTGAGAAAGAAGGTCATGCCAGCCATCGTCGTTAGACAGGCTAGACCATGGAGAAGAAAGGACGGTACCTACTTGTACTTCGAGGACAACGCTGGTGTCATTGTCAACCCTAAGGGTGAGATGAAGGGTTCTGCTATCACTGGTCCAGTCGCCAAGGAGTGTGCTGACTTGTGGCCAAGAATCGCCTCCAACTCCGGTGTGGTGGTTTAAGACATATTCTTCATTCTCCCTCACGACCCCATTGTATATCATACATTAATCATTTGACAGAGATCATTGTAGTTTTCCTAGTAGTATTACATGACATTCATACAAATATTCATACAATCATACAAATTACCTGATGTTGGCCTGAGAGATCTGATCATCCGTGTGGAGATTCTCATCTACCGTCTTGAACGCACCTGGTACCGTCTTCGTCACCGTAAGTGAGCCAGTGGAGGTCGTCAGATTTTGTCTCGATTGGCCTGGATGCTGCTCCAAGTTGGTGGGATAAGGCAAATTGCTGGGCTTTCCCTGAGCGTTGGCCCCAGATCCACTGGGTGCCTGCTCGTTAAAATGCTGTGGAAAGTGAGGCACATATGCCGCCTTCACTCTACCGTTCTCAGCCTGGTGCCCTTGCTGAGGCGTGGCTGCTGTTTGAATAATCTGGGGCTGGAAATTGGGAGATGCTGGAAAATACTGAGCCTGCGGCTGGGCCTGAGGCGACAGTGGGAAATATTGTGGCATGGGCTGCCCCTGTACTGGAGTACGCCCCGCTTGCAGCTGCTGTGTTGATGTAGGGCCTTGCGAGGAGGACGATGGTACCTGAGAGGCATCCGGAACAGGAATGGCATTGATTGTGAAGAACTGCTGCAGAACAGGGTCATAAAACTGTTGAGGTTGCGAGTTTACCTGACTGAAATAGTACTGGTAGTTCTGCGGAATGAATTGCTGGGGTGTGCCTTGCGTTCCATTTTGAACGGGCACTGATTTAGGACCCCCTTGAGAATGTTGATCGAATTGAGGATCATGCTGGATATCATGGTCTTGCTCGTTGCCGTAATGGCTCGACTGACCCGTCAAGGTTGTGTCTCCATGCTCGTGGTCTTTAAAGGTTTCAGCCTGATGCGTATCGACTGGAGTCACAATGGTCCCATCGCTATTAATCAAGTTTGAGAGCTTTGGTGACTGGTGGTAGTTCTTCTGCGAGAATGTCGAGGACAAGCGCTGGTTCTGACCGGTGGATGTAGCCGATACGGTCTGCGACAAGGCCTTCGAGCGCAAAGATTGTGCT